CCCAGGCACCACCCCAGAGGGTTCCGAGGGGGAGGAGAGTGCGCCACGACGTGCAAGCTCCAGATAACGAGCACTACCCAGGAAGGCGGAGGGAGGGGGAGCAGGCGGGCGACTCCGAGAAGGAGGGGGGCGAGGGGGCCCGACCGAGCGATCGATCCCAGACGAAACCGAAAACCTGGCAAACGGTCGGACCCCTGAATTACTAATAGGCTGGGTGTCACGGCCTGATGAAACCGACAGTGACGTCTGGGTCGGAGGCGACGTATTCTCAACACCACTGGAAGCTGCTGCCAACAGCCGTAGTACGAGGGCCCGCCGACGCGCATCTCGCTCCGCATCATCCTCAGGAGGACGTTCAGCAGCAGCGCGAACAGCAGGAGGAACATTACCACTCAGAGAACTCATGCCAGCACCAGGGTGTTCACCCGAAGGGCCTCGGGAGAGCTCAGGGCGAACAGTATCCTCAGGAGGTCGAGGGTTTGGAAGGCCGTCAGCATTACCACTCAGAGAACTCAAGCCAGCACCATTCGTCAACGATGTAGCACCAGCAGCATCCTCAGGGGGTCCCAAAAGTGTGGTGCCATCAGCACGCTCAGAAGAAATCATACCAGCACTAGCGCCCACAATGGTAGAGCCAGCATCATTGGAAGAAACATAGCCAACACCATCTTGCCCATCGGTAGAGCCAGCATCAATCACCAAGGTCTGAGGTACACCAGCGAGTGAAGAAAAAACGACTGAATCACTCCCCAGGCTCGTCGATTCCCCGCCACGCGCATCCCCCCCAGCGGTCAGTACTCCGATCCCACCGATGCCACAAGGGCGAGGTGAGACCGAAATGCGTGCCGCTGGAGGTTCCGTCAATGGACTCACTTGCCCTCGAGCCTGTCGAGCAACTTCTGAGCGTCCCTCTCGAGGGCCCCTTTCGGGGCAGCGCCAAACTTGCGAATGCCCCCGATCGTCAGGAAGTACTTGATGAGCGCGGGCTCGAGCGCAGTCTGGGACGAGTCGACGGGGAAGGTCACACGGTGCAACGACTGCTTGCCCTCCTGTTTGCGGGTCGGCCTGATACGGCAGGCACGGACGCTGGACGCCACTGCCTCGAGCTCGTTGGTCATGATGAAGGAGCTCCAGTAGGCCGAGATCGCGGCCTTGGCGTCTTGCGGGCACCGTTCGTCGGCGCCGATTGCACGGAACATCGCCGCCCACACCTGCACGAACGGGGGCCCAAGAGGCTTGGCGTCGCTGCTGCCCTCGGACTTGCGCCTCTTGGCCTCCTCGTGGTAGGCTTTGCCTGCCGCTGCTGCGGCGACGATCACGGCGGCCTCGGACGACGCGAGAAAGGTGACGAATACCACTCCACAGATCTCTCGAAGCTCGGCGGCGTTGCTGAGGGCCAGGCGCGCGAGGATCGCGACGAGGGCCTTCAACGTGCCTCCGTTGCCCTTGCCCTCCCCGACTGCTTGCTCGAGAAGGCGAGCCGTCTTGCGGGGGGGCTCGCCGCCGGCGTCGGTTGCCGACGCGGATGCGGGAGCCGCGAGCATCCAGCTGGGCGTCGACTCCATCGCTCTCAGGAAGAGGTGGAAGCGGACACGGTACAACATGAGTGCGTGGGTGAACCTGGAGATCGGCCGAGACGCCTGCGGAGAAAGGGCATAGGGGACAAGTCAAACTCGACGGCATTCGGGCCTCGGCTAAATTTCGGGTCCGATCTCGTAAGCAATGGCCGCGAACCAGACTCCGAGCTAGATGTCGTCGGGTACTCTCGAGATGAGCGAAAGTAGCCAAGCACGTGCAACACTGATTGGTGACCGTGACGACATGAGCCAAGGACCGACACCCATGGTGATTGATAATATGATTATGTAGCGCTCGTCGATCGGGCAAAGACATGCCGCATCTAGTGCCATCCGCACTCATTAACATACAGGTGAACTTGGCAGCACTCACAACCTCGCTCTCTAGCACGTCCACGGGGGCAGACGCAGACCCTGGAGGAGGAACGCGCACCGAAAGAGCCGACGCACGAAGTTGACGCACATCAATCCTAAGAAACTCATCTGCATACTCAGGATCAGCAAATAGAAGGAAATAGCGCCGATCAAGCCAGCTAAGTAACGAAGCCCCATCTTCAAGCCCCGAGAGACTATCAATATCAGCAACGAAACGAGCCGTCCAAGAAGGCATACTCGCACCAAGACGACCACTCGGTCGCACGACCATAGAGCGAGCCAGAATACTGCCACCAAGGCCCCCAAACATACTGGCCAGAACCTGTCGATGAGCCCCTGGAACCCGAGCGAAACTCTGCCACAACCGAAGGCGACGGATACGAAGCTCCAACTCGAGCGGGACGAACCTCCACCACCTGAGGACGGCCTCAGACGACAAAGGCGTAGGGTGTGAGGACTCATGCCACGTCGCGGCCTGGCCTAGCATAGCTTTGCGGCAATACATAGTAACAGTAGTTTGCAGTCGATGCAGTTGCTGGGGACTGGGTAAGACAGCCGCCAAACCAGATAACGCCACATTATAAATCTTAGATATCAGTAAACATCGCCGCAGCCTATGAGGAACACCCCGAAGAGTCCAGAAGCCACCCATGGAATACCAAGACTGCCGAAGAGCGCTCAAGCGGGACCTAAGCTCTGCCTCGAAGCTGGTAGGATTGCTGCACATCCAGGCCCCCAAGCTCTCCGCTTCCAGCACGGACTTCCCAGGAAACGTGATGCGACCAGACTTGACGGATCTCAAAAATCGCCCCGACTCATCTCCCCAGACGTGCAGCAACGTGTCCTGCTTACTCAAGTTCTGGAGGGAAGGAATCGAGGGAGGCGTTGGACCGTCGACTAAGTTTCACAAGACCCTCCAGCTCATCGTACCGAGGAAGAACCAACTTTTTTGTCAAGTCATCGGCATACTTGGTAAGGGAGCAGTCGATGCGCAGCGGCAAGGGAGCAATCTGCCCATTGACCAGCACAAGCAGCTTCGCGCACAGTAAGTCGGCCAGCGGATCCCAGCTCCGCTGGGCAGCAAGCCAACCTTCAACAGGTTTGATGAAGGTCCTCAAAAACGCATTCACGGCGAACTCGTCCCCCATCAATCCTCCACTCCCAGGTGCAATGTGTATGTCCGTGTCGTGTCCCCGAAGAGTGATGAGTGCGCTGCGAAGCCTATGCAGACCGAACCTCGAAGTGTTCTTCGTGAAAAGGTCAGTGATCGCGTGTTCCATATGTGCCCTAGAACTGCGAGCGAACGCGTTCGTGAGGTCGTGCGCATCCGTGATAAATCGGTACCCCTCCTTCTTCAGCCATTCTCCCGTGATCCCCTGGACAATCAGAGCACACTCCCGACGGCGAAACCGAAGAAACCCATGATCTTGATCGGTACCCTGCAGAGGGCCCTTCTGGGCCATAGCTCCAGACGTCCAGGACTTGCCAAAGGGATCCAATAGATGTATCCAACGGATTTTGCCGTCAGGCCGAGGAAGAGGGGCGCCGCGGCTGCGGTTCCAGAACAAGAGGACCTGGCCGCAGGCGCGAACACGTGCTAGTCCAGACACCACAAGCTCCTGGAGATCCTGCAGATCATGAGGGCATCGATCTGCCCCAACTCCCAGAGGTTGATTGCCCAGATTTCGCCGGGGAAAAAAGACGAGCCACCATAGCTCCAGCGGCGGTGACCATTCAGGAACAACTCGTCGTTTACCAGCCTTGGAAACACGGATCTGGTAGCACGGAAATCACGCCTAGCAGCAACATAGTGTTCATCAAGAAGAGTCGTGGGCCCAGGAACGCGGGCAATCCACTGAGCGCGCCAAGCACGCCATTCTGGCACAGGATGCGCAGACATGCCCCCCTCGGGGCCAGGACGGGAGAAAAGCTCTTTCAACTGCACAGCGTCGTCAACCGTGCCACGGATCGTACTATAGTCACGCCTCTTGGGCCCAAAACGAGAACCCGCAGCGCGGCGAGCAAGACGAGTAGCTTCGGCTAGACGGCGACGACGCCAATGCTCCCGAACCTCCTCTAAAAGAGCTTCTCTCCGTGACTCAGCCCCCCGTCGTCGAAACACACGGTAAAGACGAGGGACGTGTCGCAGCCGATCTTGCATCTGCTGAACAAAGGATTCATCAACATCTGGGAGCAACAGGCGAAGCTGGCGACGCTGCTCTAAAAGTTGCTCTCGCTCAAAATGAAACTGCTCCGAAACCTCATCCCTAGCCCCCTGAAGTACCTGCTGGCCCACCTCAATCAACAGCGAATTCAGTTTCTCAAAGAACTCATCAGCCGTCGGGCGATCGAGCAGTTCATGAAGCAAGTTCGTCTCCTGCTCGACGCGCGCGTGCAAGGCAGCCGTGAACTCGGCTAGGCGCTCTCCGCGCCTCACACAGCGCATAAGAGCATCGCGATCCCAGAAGGCAGGGCGTGCGGAGGGAGGGGTGTCCGACGGCATAGAGAGGATGTAAGTGGTCTTGATCATCATGAGAAGGTGGTCAGCTGGCTTCTTGCTCGGAATAATCTGCAACTCTCGGCTCACTCGGCGCAAAGGCCCGCAGTTCGACATATTCTGCACGAGCGGCCGAGGAAGACAAATAAAGTCTATGGTACTGCTGCCGTCATTGTTCGAGAAGAACGTCGGCACGCGCTCCCGCGCACAGTTTGCCGCGCAAAGATCGTGGGCGCCGAGAACCTCGGCGACAGCAGCGCCAGCATAGTGGGCCTTCGTAGAGAACTCTGGAGGTACCACATAGTGCCCATCAGCCTTCCAGCCTCCCCGCCCGTGGTGAACCAACCCCAATCCATCATTCAAATCCATCCCAACTACAGGCGTTGTTCGCCGCGGCAGCGCACAGAGCTGGGATAAAAACCAGGCCGTCAGCGCATCGCAAGTCTTATGATAAGTGGCTAGTGCTCGGAGCTCCCGAGGGCGTGGAGGATAATATAGAGCGATGGTCGTAATATCTGCCAGATGGTTTTTGGCCCGAACCAGAAGCCCACGTCCCTGGAGATTATCAGGAGGTACGGCGACTCGAACAATATCACGATCACGAAAACGACGCCCCAGGATACCCGAGCAGCCAGCGTACGCACTAACATATGGACCAACCTTATATCCTGCTTCGACAACGACACGGCGGCCATCACTTCCTGGGAGAGGGGCGACGCGGCGCCGTACACTGGTGCCTACCGTGGCCTTGACTTTGGTCCCGACCAAGCACACGCTGTCGAAGCTGGTCGTGCGGCGCACAATCTCGCCCAGCCTGTCCTCGGAGTTCGCCCTGAGGGGATTGTAGGTGCCCGTTATGAGTGAGATCGTGCGGATGGCCAGCAGCCCCCAGCACAGCAAGAGAAAGGACATGGAACGTGTAAAGAGAAGGGGTGCTACGTTATGCAGAAACACGGCCCCGCTGCTGCGCAATCAGAGCCGAGGGGCTAGGGGGGGGAGGAGGGGGAGGAGGAGGAGGAGGAGGGGGAGGGGGAGGAGGAGGGGAGGAGGAGGAGGAGGAGAGGAGGAGAGGAGGAGAAGGAGGGAGGAGGAGGAGGAGGAGGAGGAGGAGGAGGATGAGGGAGGGAGGAGGGAGGAGGGAGCCTCCCGCTCAGCTGGCGCGGCGGCGCGGGGGCGCCCGGCCTCGGCGCGGGCGGGGCGCGGCGCTCACGGGGCGCGCGGAGGGGGAGGCCGGCCCGGGCCCGGGCGCGGAGCACGTGCTCGGACTTCGTTTACGTCGGGCGTGTCTCCCTACAGGGGGAGTTTCGACGAAACAAGAAAAAATAACACAAAAATGCCCCAAAAAGGCAAAACAAAAAATTCAAACCATAGTCCCCAGACTATTTTGGGACTATTGTTCGATAATTTGTGTTTTTTTGTATTTTTCATCGAAAATCCCCCTGTAGGGGGACAAGCCCGACTTAAGACTTCGTTTTTTCTATGTTCCCCAGCCCCCCCCCCCACTGGAAATGGCGAGCAGATCGGGGCCTTCGGGTTGGGTTGGGGTGGGTTGGTGGGTAGTGGATAGCTGCCTCTGGCCCCGAGGTCTCGTGGCTCAGGCCCCGGCGTCCCAGGGCTCGAAGGGGGGGGGGGATGGATTTGGGCACCCGGCGTGGGCACGAAGGAGATTTATGAAGGGGCCCCAGGACACACAAATAAATACACACAAATAAGAATATTCCCTACATTTTCCTATGTTTTCTGGGCTTCTGTCCTCCCCCCCACTTCCCATATTTTCCTGTATTTTCTGGGGGATCGAAGATGAATTGTGTCTGTGTGTTTGTTTTCCTCCTGAGTTTTAGCAGGCGAAGGCGAAGGCCGAGGCGAGGCGAGGCGCCGGTGTGTCGGCCCAGGAGGGGGCGGCCCCACGAGGGCCCGGCGGCGGCGCCAGAGCGCCGAGAAGTGGAGGCCCGCTCGGATGCCGGGGTCGGGCTTCAGAGAGCAGGGTCGGGGAACGAGCAGAGGCGTCGGAGGCGGGAGGTCGCAGAGATAGGAGCAGGCGTCGGAGCAAGCATGCGAGCAGGCGGAGAATTCGAGAGGGCATGAACTTGCGCGCTGTCGGGGGCGCCTGTCTCAGGGCGGCTGGAAAGTTCAGACCCTTCCAGTGGCACGTCAAGATCTAGACTCTCCTGGCGCCCTGGGGCGGCGTCCAAAGCGACGGAAAAACACAGGTATGTTATACCGTTCTTCGCCCGCTAAGAAAAATGTACGATGCCCAACAACAAGTGTTGTCCAAAACCGACAGCGGCCGCTGTTGGGCAGGCGGCCTTCTGTCTCGGATAGTAAGACAACGACCGCGGCGACGCCGACAACGAATGAGGTCTAGACGCAAGAACCGCAAGTAGCCATTGTGTCCGTACCCATGTCGATCCTCCCGAATAGATGGGGGGGGGAAGAAAGGTCACTTTTCGGGCCCTCGAGGCCCCCTCTTTCGCCCGCAAGGGCCCCTTGAGGAGCCCGAAGGGGTCCTGCCCCCCCCCAGCCATCCCCCCCGTCATCGCCCCTCCATTACGCGGCCTCAGATCGAGGTGAGGGCAACCCTCGCCAGAAGCGCCGCCGGTTGGCTCCGGCGCAGGCTCGCACCGCCGAAAGTGTGTGCTCATGCCGCTTTTGTCGACCTCGAACCCCCCCGTGGGGGTACCCTCCCACGCTTCGCTTATTGAGAATCCCAGCGCAGGCCTCCCAGATGGGGTCCGAGCAGATGGGGTCGGAGGATCGCTCCGCATCGCCAACGCATTGCCGATGCGGCTCGATGTAGGGCCCGATTTGCTTCACGTCGACGTCGCCGATGCACCGCCGACGTCGCCGATGCATTGCCGATGCTCGCTAAGGTTCGCGACGCCCGTGGCCCCGCCAGGATCTCGGGGATCAGGACCGCCAGCGCCGCCAGCCCGACGAGCAGGGCGGCGCTCAGGACCGCCAGCATCGCGACCGCGGCGACCCTCCCGGCCGGCGACCTCGCGAACAGCGCGACATCCACCGAGGCAGGCCTCGTGCCGGCTCCTCCCCACGCCCGCCCACATCCCTTCTCTCCTGCCCCCTTCTTCATCATGTCCTGCCCTGGTCCTCCTCTTCCTCCATCCTCCTCCTCCTCCTCCTCCTCCTCCTCCTCCTCCTCCTCCTCATCCTCCTCCTCCTCCTCCTCCTCCTCCTCATCCTCCTCTCCTCCTCCTCCTCCTCCTCCTCCTCCTCCCCCTCCTCCCTCCTCCCTCCTCCCTCCTCCCTCCTCCTCCCTCCTCCCTCCTCCCTCCTCCCTCCTCCCTCCTCCTCCTCCCTCCTCCCTCCTCCCTCCTCCTCCTCCTACTCCTCCCTCCTCCTCCTCCTCCCCTCCTCCTCCTCCTCCTCCTCGTCCTCCTCCTCCTCCTCGTCCTCCTCTCCTCTTCTCCTCCTCCTCCTCTCCTCTTTCTCCTCCTCCTCCTCCTCCTCCTCCTCCTCCTCCTCCCTTCCTTCATCATGTCCTTCCCTGGTCCTCCTCTTCCCTGCTCCTCTTCCTCCATCTTCCTCCTCCTCCTCCTCCGCCCTGGTTCTGTATGTGTGACTCCTCCCTCGCACAGCGCCCTGACGCGCCTGTAGGCCAGGTCGGGCGTGTCGCATGACTCCCCTCACACTGTAGGATCGTCGACCGGGAGATCTCCAAGAGCTTCAAGGATGGAGCACAGGCGGTGTTGACTATGGGGCTCTCGCCTGAGCGCCGCGCGCGCTCGTCTCCCAAAGCTTGCAAATAGCTGCAGAGGTGGAATGGGGGTCTTTTCACAAATGAGGCTTCCGCCCTAACGCCGCGCACGCTCTCCCGAAGCCTACAGAGATTACAAGGATTGAGGCCGGCTCCTTTTCTAGATGGGGTGCTCGCGCGGCACATTCCGAAGCTGGAACGCCAGGGGCCGACACGTCCTTCGCAGCTGCACGGGTGGAGGACGGTCCTTTCCACATGGGGTCCTCGCTCAAGAGAACCCCGAGCCGCATGGCCAGAAGGGCAGACGTGTGCAACAGACACGCACGTTGGGGCGGCCATTTGTTTTGCTGTTATATTTTTTTCCAAAACGGGGACATCACTGGACAGTTCGTCGACCTGTCTGACCATACCTTTTCGCATGGACGAATACTCCGTAGAAGTGCAATCCACCACCGTGCCCCCTGGCACGTTGAGGCGTCGAAAAAGCCAAGTCTCTTTGGTCTGGCTTTTGATTGTTTATAAAGTGGCTCCCGCCTGCACCCGCAAAAATCGGATATCGTCGCCCCTCCTTTTCCAAGCCCACTTCCCTCCGTGCCTGCTCGAAGATGGTACACTTCCAGTTTGGCAGCTAACGCCCAATCCCGCATTCCACGCGTGCCGCATAGAGGATGGTGCACTTCCACTATGGTAGCTCAAGCCTGAACCCTCATTCCATGCGTGCCCGCTCGAGGATTGTGCATCTCCCGCACGGCAGCTAATGACACACCGCCGCTTCCACACGTGCCCGCTCGAAGACGATTCGCTTCCCGCATGTCAAAAATCCGTGAACTCTCATCCTATGCTCGCCCACTCGAGGATCGAGCACTTCCTGCATGGCTGCTACATCGGATCGCGCGCGTCCGCATTCCCAGGTGCTGCTCCCAAGCTCTCCAGGGCCTCCCTAGCAACGGCCCCTTTGCTAAACACAAGGCGGAGTGTGCCAGCAACCAAGGACACCACGATGGCCAAAGATGCCTTCAAGATGGTCCAAGGTAGCCCCAGGGCGGCAGAATATTGCTTCAAGACGGCCCAAGATGCCTCCAAGAGATTGTTGTAACAAAAAAAACGGTCACAAGTACACCTCCAACAGGGCCCGAAAGGAGCCCGCATCACTCTTATCCCGTAGGCTCTGGGACCAGTCTCGCATCGTAGCATTGTCGGGCTGCCGTCAGCTCAAGTCGGCCCACGAGGACTCTAACATGGCCCAAGGGGCATCCAAAACGGCCCCAAGAGGGCCCCCCGCGGGAATCAAGACGCTATTGGAGGGCCCTTGGACGACCCAAGTCGGCGCCAAGACGGCCCCCAGACACCCACGATACGGCCAAAAGGGCCCCAAGAAGGCCACCGATAACCCTGTGCCAGCGGAAGGGCCCCAAGACGGCTCAAGAGGGTTCCTAGGGACCCTCCCAGACTGACGCACTGGCGGCCGAGACAGCCCCAAGACGCCCCACACGAGTTTCACCATCACCATCATCACCACCACCACCACCACCACCACCATCATCATCATCATCATCATCATCATCATCATCATCATCATCATCATCATCATCATCATCATCATCATCATCATCATCATCATCATCATCATCATCATCCATCATCATCACACCACATCATCATCATCATCATCATCATCATTCATCATCATCATCATCATCATCATCATCATCATCATCATCATCATCATCATCATCATCATCATCATCATCATCATCATCATCATCATCATCATCATCATCATCATCATCATCATCATCATCATCATCATCATCATCATCATCATCATCATCATCATCATCATCATCATCCCATCATCATCTCTGTAGCCGCCGTGCCTCATGCAGTCCTCGGACCCGTACTGCCTCGCTGAAGTCGCTCTCAAATCACCGGTGGCCGTCACACCCGCGCGGAGTGGCGCGGACACAACAGGGTGTGTTGGACCATCGGGCAACCGTTGCGGCTGCGCCGCGCGCTTGCGGCCCCCCGCGAGAGCCGAAACAACCTGGCCCTCTTCATCACCAAGATTTCTACAACACGCCACCGATAATGGTCGTCATCCACCTTCGATGCCGGCGTTTCTGCAACGGCGTAGGTGCGGTTCCTGCTCCTGGCTTTGTCAACTCTCCTCTCTTCATTCCACGTGGTGCGCCCGTTTCGCGTGTCGCGCTACTGCGTGTGAGAAGCAACCTCTGCTGGGTCTACGTCTTGCTCGCTGCCTGCCACGGCCTGCAGCCTTATGTGATCTATCTCGTGGGGTCCTGTTGCGCTCTCTCGCGCTCTCAAAATCGACTGCCAGCGTTATGTGCCAACTGGTTGTGATTCTCCTGGGCGTGCATCATCGTGAGGCGTTCCATCTCGTCCTACCCCGACCAACTCGTGGAGTGACCCAGCGTGCTCCTGTGCAGCTTGGTTCCCTCTTGCTGGTGTCTTCGCCATCTGCCAGAGCCTCGGCTTCGCGAACTCTCGGTGTGGTCATGAGTATGGATTTCAACAGTGGGCTTGGCCTATACCGGCTCGCTGCCCTACCAGCGTACGTATCCTGCCCCTTGCTTCTCGTTCTCAACCGCGACTTGGTCATCTCAATTGCCTTGCTGTTATCTGAGGTGTACGAACCAAGTTTGTGCGGGCCGCCTGTACAAGGCAAGAGGCATTATTTTTTCCGAGGAGGGCTTCGCTGGGGTGTGCTTTATCGAATGCTTCATCGTGGTACCTTCATCGTGACGTGCTTCCTCGCGGCGTGCTTCACGGTGGAATGTCTCGTCGGGGAGTGCTACGGTATGGGGTACTCCATCGGAGCGTACTACACCGCGGCGTGCTCCATTGTGGCGTGCTTCGCGGAGGCGTGATTCCTCGGCGAGGCGTGCTTCATCGTCGAGGGTTACATCATGGAGGGCTTCATCGAAGGCCGCTTCGTTCTGGTGTCCTTCAGCGGGGGCGTGCTTCACGGAGGCGTGCTCCATCATGGAGTGATTTACGGAGGCGGGCTTCGCGGAAGCGTTCTTCACGGAGGCGCGCGTAATCGTGGAGCGCGTCATCGGGGGGTTCATCGGGGTGGCTTGCTTTACTGTGTCGTGATTCCTTAGACAATACTTCGGAGGCGTGCTTCATCGGTGGGAACTTCATGAAGGGTTTCGTTGCGGCGTGCTTCCTGGGGGAAGCGCACAGAGGTGCACTTCGTTGTGGCGTGCTTAATTTTGGTGTGCTTAATCAGCGCGTGCTTCATTGCGGCGTGCTCCTTCGGGGAGTGTCACATAGCGGAGTGCTCCTTCGAGCGCTAAAGTATACGTGGGTTTGGCCATCAGTCTGCCATCGGCGTGTCCTCCATGGGCAGCAACACGTGGCTCACAATTATATTGCGTAAAAATTGGTTCGTCGAGTGCTTCGTCGGGGTGTGCTTCATCGTGGAGCGTTACACCGCGGAGTGGTTCATGGGGAGTGTTTCTTCAAGCGCTTCGTCGTGGAGTGCTTCATCGTGGAGTACTTCTCCTGACGGGCCTCACCGTCGAGTGTTCCGCTGAGGTGTGCTTCACCAAGCAGTGCTTCATCGGGGAGTGTGCTTCATTGCGGAGCGCTTCATCGGGGAGTGCTTCATCACGGACGGCTTCATCACAGAGAGCCTTATTGTGGCCTGCCTCACCGTGGCGCGCGGAGGTTGGTGCGTTCGCGGTCACCTCGCTCGTGCCGGAGTCTCTCCTTTCCTGGGTGATGAAGTTCAGTGGGTCATCATCTCTGTAGTCGCCGTGCCTCATGCAGTCCTCGGGCCCGTACTGTCAGGCGGGGTGCAGACACAACAGGGTGTGTCGGACCATCGGGCAACCGTTGCGGCTGCACCGCGCGCTTGCGGCTCCCCGTCAGGGCCCAACGGCGTGCTGGCCTTCTTCATCGTCAGTATTCGTACAACACGCCACCGATCATCATCAGCATCAGCAGCATCATCATCATCATCAGCAGCATCATCATCATCATCATTATTATCCTCATCATCATCAGCAGCATCATCATCAGCATCAGCATCAGCAGCAGCAGCAGCAGCAGCATCAGCATCGTCATCAACATCAGCCTCATCATCGTCATCATCGTCGTCAGCTTCATCGTCATATCGTCATCATCATCGTCATCATCATCATCCTCATCACCATCGTGATTAACATCATCATAGTCATCATCACCATCATCACCATCAGCATCACCGTCGGCATCACCATCACCCTTCTCCACCTCCTCATCATCATGAACATCAGCAGCATCAGCATCAGCATCATCAACAGCATCATCATTATCAACGGCATCATCAGCAGCACCAGCATCAGCATCAACATCCTCATCCTCATCGTCATCCTCATCCTCATCCTCATCATCATCGTCAACATTATCATCATTGTAATGTTATTCGCCATCATCATCGATCATCGGGCTTCACCGTCATGAACACCAATATCAGTATCATCATCATCATCATCATCATCATCATCACCATCATCATCATCATCAGCATTATCATCATCATCATCAGCATCATCATCATCATCATCATCATCATTATCACAATCATCGTCACCATCATCGACCGTCATCACCATCATCATCAGCATCCTCATCATCAACGGCATCATCAGCAGCATCATCATTATCCTCCTCATCCTCCTCATCCTCATCCTCATCCTCCTCATCCTCATCCTCATCCTCATCATCAGCATCATCATCATTCCCATCATCCTCGTCACCCTCACCACGGCTCCCCCAAGCCTGGACACACGAGGTGTCACACGTGACGGCCTTCCGCCCCCCCGCGAGCAGTCGCCACCCGGAAGGCTCGGCTCGCACGGTGGCGGGACTTGCCGCAGGCAGCTAGGTACATCGTCTGTTCGAGACGGCGCCCCCGCCGGAATGGCAGGCCCACTGGGCACGAGTCGCTCAACGGGGCACTGCGCGCACCGCAGCGGGAAGTTTGTAGGACCTACGACGGGGGACTGCGGACTGGAGGGTGTACAGTCGGGGCCTTGACCTAAGGAAGGAACCCTGAATAAGGAACGAGGCCCCTTTTTTCCAGAAGGTCAACTTCGATTTCCGATGGAAAACATAAAGGAAAACCTGAGGCAAGCTGTAAAATACTTAAGGAACGCGGAGCCCCTCCCCAACCAAAAGGGTTCCTTCTTCAGGGCCCCGACTGTACTGCCGCATCGCTGATGGATCTTGGATTTACTCTGGTCCTTATTCCTGAGCCGCCTCGAAGCCACACGCCTATCAAGATCAAAGGAAGATGAAGCCAGCAAGCCGAGGGGTTGGCAGCGGGCGCGGGGGCACTCCTGGCCCCCGCGTACTTCCACACATTTTACTATGGTCTTCCACCTCCTCCTCCTCCTCCTCCTCCTCCTCCTCCTCCTCCTCCTCCTCCTCCTCCTCATCCTTTTCGTCCTCGCCCTCGTCCTCCTACTTCTTCTCCGTCTCCGCCCCCATCTACACCTCCTCCTCCCCCTCCTCCTCCTCCTGCCCCTCCTACTCCTCCTCATCCTCCTCCTCCCCTCCCCCCCCTTCCTCCCCCTCCCCGACCCCCTGCTGCGGAGCCTCTCTGGCGCCGCCTTGCCGCACCCGCGCGACTGCGGCCCCTCCGCCTCCCCGCCGCGCAGCAGCCCGCCCTCCTCGCTCCGGGCCTCCGCCTGGGCAGGCGGGCGCGGCAGCGGGCCGAACGGACGACAGCGAAGGGTGCCGGGGTGGATGGGGGCGGAGACGGAGGAGGAGGAGGGGGAGGAGGAGGAGGAGGAGGAGGAGGAGGAGGAGGAGGAGGAGGAGGAGGAGGAGAAAGGAGGAGCAGGAGGAGGAGGAGGAGGAGGGGGAGGAGGCGGAGGAGGAGGAGGAGGACGAGGAGGAGGAGGAGGAGGAAGAAGAAGAGGAGGAATGACAGGGGGGTTGGAAGACGGTGAGGAGGAAGGAAAATGGCAAGGGACGGGGGGGGGGGAAAGGGACGGGAAGGTAGGAGGTGGGGACACCCGCGCGAGCGGAACATCCGACTCGGGTGAGCTGGCCCGACGGTGCTTCGCGTTGCATCGGCAGCTGGAGCCGGAGCCAACGGTGAAGTTAACGGAAAAACGGAGATGGCCCATCCTGCAGGTTTGGTTGACAGCACATCGTTGAGCGGTGCTGCAACCTGCCCCGAGCACAGCCCCCCCCCCCAGCATCGGACAGACACGTCGGGATTGCACCCTCATGCCTTTGCTGGACTCTGGACTGCTGGACTCTAGACTCTGGGAAAGGGGATGGGAAGGCGGGCCAGAGGGAGCTTCCAGAGGGAAGATAGAGGAGGGATGGTGGGTGAGGAGAGAGGGGAGGCCTGGGGGCCCGTGTTGTGTCCTCCTGGGCCCTCTTGTCGCCTCTTGGGGCCATGCTCGAACCGTCCTGACATCCTCTTGACCCGTGTGGCCTCTCCTGAGGCCTCGGAGAAGGAGGCAGCGCGGCCCGAAAGGCGTGGGCGCACAGACGAACAGAAAAGCACCCAAGAAGATGTGCACTGGGAAATACCCGCTGAGGCCAAGATCGAGGAGAAGGAGGAGGAGGAGGAGTAGGAGGAGGAGGAAGAGGAGGAGGAGGGGGAGGAGGAGGAGGAGGGAGGAGGAGGGAGGAGGATGAATCCATCCTGACGTATCCCCCTCCATCACGCAGACGCCGCGCCAGGCCGACGCTCGCAGGCAGGCTGCGCTGCGGCAGGCCTGCCGGCCCGGGGTCGGCCCACCCGCCGGCCGCTTCGGCGCTCGCCGAGGCGAGGGGAGGGCGACGGAGAGCGGCAGCGGGCGCTGGCCCCCCCCCCCCCAACACACACACACACACACACATACCCCCCCCCCCCCCACACACACACACATATACTCACCCACCCGAACCCTCCTCCTTCCTCCTCCTCCTCCGCCTCCTCCTCCTCCTCCTCCTTACCGCCTTACCTCCTCCCCTCCTTACCTCCTCCTCCTCCTCCTCCTCCTCCTCCTCCTCCTCCTCCTCCTCCTCCTCCTCCTCCTCCTCCTCCTGGGAATCTCTGAGACCCTTGGGCGCTTACACACACATACCCATGGGAGGGTCGGCAGGAAGAGGACTGGCCATGGGCATGGGTGCGGGTTGTCGGACCCTGGGGGGAACCCCCCGTGCGAGCGGGGACCCCCATCCGACAACACGCACCCATAGCCCCCTCCGCCCCCCCCCCTATGGGTATGGGTGCGTGTTGTTCGATCGTCACTTGAGAAGCAGAGGGGGGGGCAGGGAGGACGCAGAAGCAGGGAGGATTGCCGAGGGAGGGGGGAGGGAGGATCACCCCGTCCATGATTCTCCACTGACCCTGACTGCCTACCAAAGCACCCCAACCCAACCCGAAGACCCGAATTTCGCCCGAATTCCGGGTTCGGGGGGGTGCGGGCTTCAATTGTGTTTTCCAACGTTTTTCATTTGAAATGGAAGGCACATCGGGGCCTTCGGGTTGGGTTGGGGTGGTTTGGTGGGCGGTGATCCCCCTGCTCCTCCTCATATAGGACAAGGAGATGCAGCCACTGCGAACGGCAGCGAGGGACGTTGAGCAGGGACCGACCGTCGCGCCATTCCTATGGTCCTGCGAAAAAGTGTCCTTAGGTCCAGCACATGTTCAAAAACAATACTTTGGTTGTGATACAGTGGAGGCCAGTCCACAATAGATCTTCCACAAGAAACCCAACCCTAAGACCCCAGGACGCCCATGGATCTTTGGTACGGGAACGGCACGCTCTCCATGGCAAAACCATCGAAGCCCAAGCAACCCATGGAACCCTGGAGGCAAGCAGGGTGTTCCTTGGCCTGGGCCTCCACTGTAACAGAAGCCCGACGCGCTAGAACGAAACAGTCTCAGCCAGAAATGTTCTAAGAACATTTCGTGCAAGGCGCAAGAGGTGTTTGAAGAGGTCTTTGAGGATCCTGTCGGCAAGCTGGGACGCTTCGCCACTGCTTGAGGAAGCGACGGACCGCACGACCGACACGCGACGACGCCCGACCCAGCCCCTAGTCGGGTGTTGCTAGAAGTGCCCCTGGCCCAAGGTGCCCCCAGGATTTCCAAGGAGGCCCCCACGGCCTCCAAAGCACCCCTCACAAGGCCCAGAGGGCCCCAGGGGCTCCAGAATTGGGCGAAAAGCTGGGGGCACCTTGGGCCAGGGGCACCTTCAGCAACCCCCGACCTAGGACGCCCTCGAACCCTCCCCCCCCGGAACCGAAAGCCTTAGCGAGCCCAGGCCCGCCCGCGTGGCGACGGGAGCCCCTCAACCCACGACGGCGGCCCTCGGCACTCCCCGCCGGCGCCGCGCAGTGAGGGCGCGCGGCACGACACGGTCGTCGCCACCGGCGAGCGAGGGAGGGAAGTGAGGAGGAGAGGGCACTCTCAGAAGGCGGCGGGGCTTCTGAGAAGGCCCTGCGCCTTCCCAGAAGCTTCCTGCGTCTTCGGGGGAAGGCGCTGGAAACTACAATGCCCAGAAGCCTGGTGGGCCTTCCGAGCCTTCCGGGCCTCCTCCTCCTCCTCCTCCTCCTCCTCCTCCTCCTCCTCATCGTCCTGATTGTCCTCCTCCTTGTCCTCCTCCTCCTCGTCCACCTCGTCGGGGGGACTTCTGAGCCTTCTAAGAGAAGCCCGCCCCTCCTCTTGATCAGGGACCGACCGTTGCAGCATTCCTATAGGCCTACTACGACATGTTCCTAGAACCCCAAGAATGTTCTAATAGCAAACACCATGCTCTTAGAACAGTAAACCGATGTGTTAAAGCATCCCGTGCGGACCACAAAAGACCATGCAGAACTGCTCTAAGAGCATCCCGTGCAGACCACAAAAGGTTCTTAGAGCATGCTTTGGTGGGCCTACAGTTAAGTCGGGCATGTCCACCTACAGGGGGATGTTCGACGAAAAACTAAAAATACCCACAAAATAATAGAACAAAAATCAAAAAATAGTATGGGGACTATTTTGGGGTATTTGTTTGACCTTCTTGGGGTATGTTTGGGGTATCTTTCGTCGAAAATCCCCATGTAGGGGGACACGCCCGACATAAGCCTACAGGCGAGCCCAGACGCTTCGCCACTGCTTGATCCTCGCTTCCCCCCTCGCGTAGGGGATCGACTACAGAATTGATTCACCCCCGAAATGACTTTCTCGTCGAATCCATGGGAAATGCGTAGAACGCTCGTAGATCTACAAGCATCCTACGTATGACTCGACGAGAAAATCAATTTTGGGGCAAATCAAATCTGTAGACGATCCCGTACTCCACCGACGGCCGTCGACCCACCAGCGAGAAAAAAGCGCGCGACGACCTGCCCGCCCGGCCGGCACGGGAGAGGAGCCAAGGCCAGCGCAGCTGCTCGACAGGGAGGGGGCTCGAGCTTTGGGTCGGGCATGTCCTCCTACACGCGGAGATTGGACGGGAAAAAACAATTAGTCAACAAAAAGCTCGAAAGTAATCGGCGGTGGACAAACCTCCCTTTAGTAAACCTCCCTATAGTGAAAACGGCCTGGGACCGAAGCCGACGGACCTTGACCCGCAAAAATGACGGCCGCGACGCCCTCTCGCGAACCGAAAACGGCCCATTCACTAAACGACGTGTCAGGGTAGGAGGTCTATCCTCCTTCGAAGTAATGAAAACCTTATGGGAAAATCGTCACCATGCCATTTTTTGATTAGGTTTGGATCTTCCTCCTGTAGGGCGACATGCCCGACTGAACTTGAGCTAGACAGTGTGTCTCGTTGTTGTGTTGTCGTCGTGCTCCCTCGTCCTGACTTCGCCCTGCCTGTGGCTGCACAGACGAGATCAGAAGGAAGACGGCGCACGGAATCGCCGAAGCACCCTTCAGCTCGAGCCCTGCACAAGGCTGCGCGAATGTTCTCGGCGCACTCGTACGGCCTTCTGAGGTGATCGTGGGCCATCCCTGGACGCCCTGTGGTTTGGACGCCCGAAATGGGTACGGAAGAAATAGGCACACTGCCCAACAACGAATGTTTGTCCCAAGCCAACAGCGACCGCTGTTGGGCAGGCGGCCGTTTGTCTCTAATGGACACAGGCCGCGGCGGCGCGGACAGCGAGTCCGATCCAAAATGAACAGGAACTGCCGGTGGGCATTGTACCCATGTTTGTCCGTAACCATTTCGTTACCAGCCTGGAACATATCCCGATCCCTATGTTGGGCATCGCCTCGTCACGATGACGATCTCAGGGATTTCCTCAGTTTCTGAGGGTGTATCCCTAAGATTGCCATCTCCTTTTGGCGTCTCAATCTTAGGGATAGGGATCAGTTCGAGGCTGGTGATTTCGTTCGTGCTGATGAGGGCTCTCTTGAGGCCTCTGTTGTGATCTTGCGCTCCGCGGGGAGGTGCGGGAACTGCCTCGGAGAAGGAAACGGCGGGTGCCATCGGGGCACGCCGAGGGGCCGGCTCGGAGCAGCCTCGGGCAATCCTGCGGCCACCCTGGGGGCGGCCCGGGGGGATGATTCGGGGTCTGGGCGTCTCCCCGATGCCTGATGGATCCTCTCGGGAGCCTCTAGCGCCCAACCTGAAGGCAGCGAGAAGGCGAGTAACCATGATTACGAAATATCTAAGGCATCGAATGGAGACGGAAGTAAACGGCAAGAGGAGTGGGGGGAAAGACAATCATCCGCCTCCTTCCCTGGGGA